GTCGACCAGATGGCAACAGTTCAAAGAGGGAGTGTGCTGGATGTGAGGGGTCCATAGTGATTTTGCCAGCCCTTTTGCTCACTCTGGATGAGTACAGTTCTTGGAGAGAAGGGAGGGTTGTACCAATGATTCGCTCAGCAGTCCGGACTACCCTCTGCAGTCCCTTGAGGTCAGACTTGGCAGCCGAGCCGAAACAGACAGTTATAGAAGTGCGGAGGACAGATTCAATGATGGCGGAGTAGAACTGTTTCAGCACCTCCTGTGACAGGTTGAACTTCCTCAACTGGCGAAGGAAGTACAACCTCTGCTGGGCCTTTTTACCATGTATTGTTTTGTAATTCACAGTATTGTTTGTGACATAGGCATTCATTTGCCTATAAAGCAAAACTAATTTGGCAATGACTGGCTAAGCCTACAATATCCTACTTATTGTACGGCAAGTGAAAAAATAGGCCTATATAAATATTATTTTGAGCTAAAAATATTTTAGAATTCTACCTATATATATAGGCTATTTATCTTAAGCTTTCAGCTAACAAAAAATAGTCCAATAGAACAATACAACAGTCGGCTATGATACAAGACAGCTACTGGTGACTATTCACACAAACGCGTTTTTTCATTCACTGCGCTACTTTTTCAATTGTTTTTGTATGTCAATCTTTGACCGTTGCGCTCGCGTCTCAAGTCTTTTGCTACATCTCGCGCATGAGTTGTGTTCTAAAAAAGTTTAATGAATCTCAACTTTTAAAAACGCGTATCGAGATCGGCCTTACATTTCCCCCTTTCCAATGCCCGCGTTTCGCGTTTTTCAAAGCAAAGACGCGTTCTGTGTGAACACAGCTGTGATTTGAACTGATATTTTTCATATTTCTGAAGAATGTAACAGTGCTTTACTGCGGTCAGGCCAGTCTCCACTTTGAAAAACACAGTTCTAGCCGCCAGGTTATATTGTGGTGCGCGCATACACTACACTAATAGCTTCTTAAAAAAAAAAAAAAAACTGATCAGAGGAAAAGCGATCTTTGGCTTTCATTTATTGAGCAAGTTTCTCTGTCAATGATGTATGAATGAATGAATGAATAAATAAATAAGTTTAAAAAACGGTCTGATATGAATGAATAAATGCATGAATAAATAAATAAATTTAAAAACGGTCTGATAACATGAAAATTAATTTGAGTAATATTAAATATAGAATTTCCAAATAATATGAAAAAAAAAACGGTCTGATGAGAAATAACAATAAAAGTCTTTTAAAAACTTGCAAATAACCATTTTTTCATTTGTAAATCCACATAGTTATAAAAATAAAACTCCGTTTCTACAAAAAAGTTTCACTTTAGTTTAACTGTACACCACTCCAGATTGTCATTCCCCCAATGTCAGGACTGTCTGATGTCCCATTACAACATAAAAGCCCTCCAAAAACTCATATATGACCAGTTTTGTCTTTGATTTCAGATAACTCTAAAAAGGAAACTCCCTGTTTCCACAGACCAGTTTGAATTCAGATTGATTCCATTACCCCAGGGTGTCACTCAGCCAGTTTCAGGATGGTCTGAATCTCATAAATGACCAGTTTTGTCTAATTTTGGATAGCTCTAAAAAGGAAACTCCATGTTTCCACAGACCATTTTCAATTCAGACTGACAGTCCGTCCACTACCCCATTGTGTCACTCAGTCAGTTTCAGTACTGTCTGATGTTGTATTACACAATAAAAGCCCTCCAAAAATTTATATTCTACCTGTTCTGCCTGTGATTTTGGATAGCTCTAAAAAGGAAACTCCCTGTTTCCACAGACCAGTTTAAGGAGAAAGGGAACTTCCTGTTTTCACTTGCCACTTTCATATCAGATTGATAATACACCTCCTGAAAGTGTCACTCACACTTTGTAATTCAACATCAGTCAGTCCTGACATTGTGTGAGTGACACCTTTCAGGAGGTGTATTATCAATCTGAAGTGAAAGTGCTCTGTGAAAACAGGGAATTTCCTTTTTAAAGCAATCAGAATTGATAGGCAAAGCATCTCATACATTAGTTTTTAGAAGGCGTTTATTTTGATATTACACATCAAATACAACGGTCAATGTGTGAGTGACTCTGAGGAGGTGTACTGTCACTTTGAAGTGAAAGTGGACTGTGGAAACCTTTCAGAGCTATTCAAAATCAAAGACAAAACTGGTCATATATGAGATTTTGGAGAGCTTTTATTATGTAATGCAACATCTAACATCCAGCATCCTGAAACTGGCTGAGTGACACCCTGGGGTAGTGGACTATCAATCTGAATTGAAACTGGTCTGTGGAAACAGGGAGTTTCCTTTTTAGAGCTATCCGAAATCACAGGCAGGACAGGAAGAATATACGTTTTTTTAGGGCCTCATTATGTAATGCTACATCAGACAGTCCTGAAATTGGTTGAGTGACACCCTGGGGTGGTGGACTATTAATCTGAATTGATACCGGTCTGTGGAAACAGGGAGTTTCTTTTTTTACAGCTATCTGAAATGAAAGACAAAACTGGTCATATATGAGTTTTTGGAGATTTTTTATGTTGTAATGCAACATCAGACAGTCCTGAAACTGGCTGAGTG